ATGTAATTAAAATTAAACTAAATGTAATTCAAACAGAATTTAACTTAATTTAGCAGATTTCAAGTGATTACAAAGGTGTTTCAACTTAACATATAAAATACAGTTTTGAGTTGTTGTTTTTTTAAAGCTTTTACCAAATATAAAGAATGAACAGGAGAGTTATAGAAATATTACAAAATGAAACTGAAAAATAAAATGTAATTAAAACGAATTATTATAAAATAATTAAATGTAATTAAAAATAAATGTTATTGAAATTTAATTACATTTAATTTAATTTCAGTTTTGAGGATTAATATAGGAAAAAAAATATTTGTAATAAATACCAGTACAATAACCAGGTATTTAAGTTTATCATAAATAAATACAATTTCTTTTATTCTCATGCATATTAACTAACCGAATACAGTTACCCAAATTCTAACCACACTCTTTTTTACAATGAAAAAAATATGCTGATTGTAAGAAATCTGAATAAATGCATTTTGAAAATATGATTATTTCAATAAAATTGAATAAATGCAAGTAGTTAATAATAAACAATGAAAAATAAACATTTTTTTTGAGTGCAAAAATTATTTTTTTCATTAAGAGTATGAATGACTGACAAAAATAAGCATCACATTAAGTTTATTAGTTTAAGTTAAAACTGTGTGATCCAAATGGATGGACATTTTTGATGCAATTCAAATACATAAATCTTAAATTTAAGCTTAGTTAGTTCAGCTTGAGTTAGAACATGATATTTTGCTGATGATGATTCCAGGTTGATTGACAGGTGTTTATTGGACCGGTGGGGTTTCTTGATTATTTGGGAGAGTCAGCAGGAAGCTCATGTTAACAGCGACTCCGTGCTGGTAAACCCAAACAGAGAGCTTTACATGGAGAGGCTTGAGGAAACTGGTCACTTTGAGCTACTTTACCAGCGGATTCGCTCTTCACTACAGTGTTAGGTAGTTCATCTCAAAATGGAGCATGCGGTGTGTTTACAGACGTGGATTAGCATGTGCACAAGGTGACTTTGAGTTTGTGGAGCTTCTGCAGAGTAAATAAGCCGGTAATGGCTTGAATTAATGCTTGGCCGTTGAGTTTTGATTTTACCTTTTAATTTAAAAGATAAACGAATGTCAACTTTAGGCTGTACTCATGGTTTCAGAATGCTATGGATGCAGTACTGTAAAGTATAATGGTATACTTAAGTAGTGAATAAATACTACATTAATATATCATTGTATGTACAGTATGCTGTTTATTTCAGCAAGGCAAAAAAGCAATTTTTCAAACGCTGTGTGAGGCATTGACCCTCCAGCCCTGCGAACCTTGACGATGCATTTGTTTCTGATGACATCAGGGACTTTATACACATCTGTGAAAACCAGGTGCCTTAACCAGTAACCTGGCAACAAGCAGATCAGGACCCCGTCATGGTTGACTTCCTCGCTGCCTGAGAGAGAAACAGCTCTTATTTAAGCCGGAAATTGAAATAGCATTTAATGGAATGAAAAAAGGAATGTTATTGTTGCAGAGTTGCTCTGCATTAATATTCTAATATAATCTGGTTGGTGAAGAATGAATGGGAGAGTTTGTGGTTGCTGTCCTTTTTTTTTCTTCTATTAAGGGCTCATAGTTATGTATTTCTCACCTTGTATCATATATTTTAAATGTTATATATTCAGCTTGAGCTAAATATCTGCCATGTACCATGGCTTTGTTCAAAAATGCAGTGAGCTTACTTGCTGTATACTGCCTAAATAGGCAGCAGACTTCTAAGTCAGCATCCTAACTGAAACGGAACATCATAAGTGACTTATTTGGAACACCCTAAATAGAGAGAAACTCTATATGTCATAAACTTCCCAATTGATTTCAATAGAGATTGGCAGGTATTGAGGCAACTCTAATAAGAATAAAAAAGGGTGTAAAATAAGAAAAGTCTATTTTTATTTTATATTAATATTAGTTATTAATAATAATATAAAATAAATAATTTCTTCTTCTTGATATATATTTTAAAGATATATTATTTATTATTATTATTATTATTATTATATTTTTTATTATTTATTTATTTATAACAAATATTATTAAAAAAATATATAAAAAGGTAAAAGGTGACTTTTTGTTTCAGAATTGAAGAAGTAATTTTGTAATGTGAAAAAAAAGTTGGAATTGTGAGATACAAAATAGCAATTACCTTTTTGTATTTTTTAATTTGATTTATTTTTATGTGTGAGATCTAAACTCAGAATTCAGAGAAAAAAATTGCAATATGTTATCTCAGAATTGTGAGAAAAAATGTTTTATTTTATTCACTGGCGGAAACAGGCTTCCATATTTTCCATATTTACTTTTTGGAATTGAGTGATTTCATTCCAATGCGTTGTTGGATTGGGTGTCTATATATTAGGTGATGCTGCCAAAACAAGGTATCTTATAAGGCAGTGTAATTTTGCTGTCTACCTTTTGGAACAACCTGTGATGCTTTAAAATGTTGCCTAGGTAGGCAGCTCACTAGGTTTTGGAACAGAAGAGCATTGATAATAATGTTAGAAGCATATTGTTTGATATGCAAAGATGTTCAGCTATGTCTGTTTTTTTAATATGCTGAGAAAGATAATATGCATGCTTTTACAAGACATTAATAGCTGTATAAACAAATACATACTGCAGTTAGTTTATGCAGCATATCATAAGACAGAAAGCATCTTTAAAGCAAACATGGCAGCTGAACACAGACACAAGTGGAATGATGAAGCTGTCAAAACTGATGAAATGTATTTGAGCGGTTCCACAGGAATGATTTAAACATCTGAAGCGTTAGTACATATTTGATTTTCATGCCCTTTCCACATAAGTGGTTCTGCTCAGAGAGCCGCAGTGAAATGTCATTACCTTGAGTTACCAACGAGAAAGTCTGTATTTGTATCCGTTCTGTGAGAATTAAATATTCCCACGGAACAGAGCGGCTCCGGTGCGGTGTGGTTTGCTAACCGTAATTAACCCTGGTGTTTATAGGGCTGGATTTGAGCGTGTGGCGCCCACACAAGGCTCTCTCAGTGTGAGGATGAAAGGTGCCTCAACGCCGCTGGAAGAAAAAGGTCATTCACAATCAGAGCCCAGAGGGGAGGCCTTGCCCTCTCGTTCTTTACCTCTCCTCTCTTACAACATCAATCACAATCTCTCCAAAAATCCGGTTGAAATTGTTTTTCCAGGTGCTCACAGCCAATCGCTGATTGTTCCAGTGTTGTCATTTGACTGAAAGAATGATGTGCTGATTTGATGTAATTTGTAGGGAACAAGAAAGGGGAACTTTGTGTGTGTGTGTGTGTGTATATATATATATATATATATATATATATATATATATATATATATATACAGTATATATTCCAAAGGATTTTAGAATATTTACATCAGTATATATAACAATATATATATATATAAATTAGGTCAAATTTATTGTCACATAGGCACATTTATTTTTTGTGTCTTTATCAGCAGGTTACTTTTTTATTTAAAATAATGTGAGCAGATGTACATTAACAGAATATTTGTTTTAGTTCGTAAGATTAAGGACTGTAATTATACAACCTTTAATTCATTTTACTCCGTTTGAGGAATGGAAATATTGAACATGTTTGTTTTCATTTGAGCGCAGAGTGAGAAATGCTCATCAGTTTGCGTTATCATCAAACGTCTGTAACTACATGAACTGTAATCAACAGTACTTGTGTGTTTTGCATTTCTCATCCAACTAAATGTGTTTTCTCACGTTTTGACTAATAATTTGAATATCTTGTGTTCATGTGCAGATATGCGTGCCTGCTCTGCAGTAAAGCAGATTTTGTATTATTTATTTGTTTTGTCATATTTTGGCTGTAGTTGTCATGTAGATTATAGGTCATTTAAGGATTAGAGACGTCATGACTGAAAATCCATGAACTGTTTTGTGCTGCCGCAGCTTGAGCAAACTCCGACTGTGACACAGCGAAGATAGCCTGTGTCTTTATGGAAGCATATAGGTAGCGAAATTCAATTTAAAATGCAATATGCAAAATGGCAATGCAATACTCAAAATGGCAACGCAATATTCAAAATGGCATTGTATTTCTGTATTTAAATTTACATTTTCCATTACCCATTGCATTGCCATTTTGCATATTGCATTTTAAATTGAATTTCGCCACCTATATGCTTCCATAGTGTCTTAGGGTAATAAGTGTTTAAATTGCAGCATTTTAACCTTCATCTTACACGTAAGGGTCAGACATGTTAATAGAGGTCCTTTTTTATTTTCTTATTTGTTTCTATTGTAACTTCAAAGCACATTTTAGGAGAAACATCTTTTCTTGAAAAAAGCATGACTGGAAATTCAGAGAAAGTCTCTAGAACTATTTGCATCATTGATCAGATCGAAAAAGTCCAGGAGAAATTTAAGATCCCAAAGAAAATTCTGTTCCTATGAATTACCAAAGCAGAAATTTGTTTACTAAAAAGTTTAAACTCAGAATTGTCTGAAAAAACGTCAGAATTGCAAGATATAACTCTTAAGAGTTTATCTCGCAATACCGATTTATAAACCTTCAACTCAGAACTCATTTTCTTCAGAATGCTGAATTTAGATTTACTTGCAATTGATGATTTGCGATTTCGAGACGCATTACTGAGGAAAAAGTTTGAATTGAAAGTTTATAAAACAGTGTTGCGAGATAAACTTTCAATTGTTTATATCTCGCAATTTTGACTTTTTCCACACAATTCTGAGTTTAGATTTTTCAATTAATAACTTGCAAGAGATGAGCTCACAATTTTGCAAAAAAAATCTGAATTTTGAATATATAACTCTATAACTTTAAGATCGAGATTTATAAGTGCGAGATTTACATCTCTGAGTAAAAAAAAGTCTGAATTGTGAGATATAAACTAACTGTTTATATCTAACTGTTTGACCAAATAACCTCTGTGATTTTGTTTTTAACTTCTTTTTTCTGTCTGTGCAGGTGGGATTTTCGAGACACTTGAGAATGAACCGATTAGCGTGGAGGAACTTGCCTTCAAATTCGCTGTAACCAACATTAACAGAAACAGAACTTTAATGCCCAACACCACCCTCACCTACGACATCCAGAGAATCAACCTGTTCGACAGCTTCGAGGCCTCTAGACGAGGTTTGATTCTTACATGTACACACTGGCAGACCCTTTTATCCATTACATGCACAGATCAGTTCATGCATTCCGTGGGAATCGAACCCATGACTTTGGCATTGCTAGTGCCTCGCTTTACCATTTAAGCTGCAGGAATGATGGCAAAAAGAGCTCAGTACCAAAACTTACATGATTGTATACACTGTAAAAAATATTTTTTAGAAGTTGTAAATAAAACAAATATTATTGCAATATGTTTTAATTTAAAAAAATTTTTTAAAATATATTTGTGTATTACTTTTCAATGAATGCAGTATTTCATGTTAAAATAGTCAATGCCTTTAAAATCCCATTTTTGAAGCCAGATTAGTGCCATCTGGTGGGAGTAAAATAAGAAAAACATCTGCAATTCCATGGTTTAGCCCATAGATTCCTATATAGCTCTATATAAAAGGCCTATAAATTCTCTAAGTGTTTTTAGACATAAATACTTATTTTTAAGTTGTGGGTTTGGATATATATTTAGACATTCTCAAAGACAACTTTTTGTAAAGGTTTAGATTTTTTTTTTGGTTTGAAATGTTGATTTGAAGCGTCAGTTTTTGAATTATTATTACTACAGTCAAACCTGAACACAAAGAAAGCATTTTGTTACACATAACATTACAATTCTATAAAAATTTAACAAAAATGAACAGAAATGTTTTATCAGAGCTTAATCCTTCTGGGTTTGATCTGATTTCAACCTCTTATTTCAGTTTTCTGACTCGTTTTGGCTATATGGTTATAGCCATACCAATTAATTTGAGTGTGTATAATTGTGTATGTTTGTGTGTTTATCTGTGAGTGTGTGTGTCTGTTTTGCACTCTTGATGTTTTAGAGTGTAACCCCTTCCTTGCTGTCCACTTTTTTACTGCATTGTAGTTGAATTATTGCTTTTATTTAACATATTTGCTGTGTTGTCACACCAGTTCATAGGTGTATGTGTGTATAAGTGTGTGTGTATGCGTGTGTGTGTGAGTGGATGTGTTGGTTTTGCACTCTTGAGGTTTTAGAGTTTCACCCTGTCATTGCAGTGTACTTTTTTCTGCATTGTGACAGATTTGTAGATTATGCACACAAAAATTCTCAGAATTCTCAGAGTTTTTGTCGATTACCCGTTCATTTCCTATGGTCGGTCATTTTTGACTGAAGACCACAAGTGTCACTATTTTTTTTATGACCACTTAGTCTGCTCGAATCATGCCCTCAATTGTGTATTCACATTCCAAATGCCATAAAAGTCACCAAATTTTGTACCATTCTGATGAAGCTGTGATTTTTAAAAATTCAAAACAGAAAATGTTTCGGTCAAAAGTGACCGAAGAGCACCAGAGAGTTAAAAGGAAATACTATTTTCAGTTTTTCTGTTTTAAAATGTAATGTTTAATTGAATGTGTTGCATTTTTTTTTGTAAATCTTTGAAGAATTTACTAGCAATTTTTTTGTGAAAACTGTTTCAACAGCAAATTTGTTTTAGTGTCCTAGTTTGTTTTTATATAATTGCTATGAGAGCCTGTTTTCACCACGGAATAAAACATGTAAAAAGATAATTGTGACTTTTTATCTCACAATTTAGACTTTTTTTGAGAAAATGTCAGAATTGTGAGATATAAAGAAGATCCAAGTTTATATCTCACAATTTTGTTTTTTTCTCTGAATTCTGAGTTTACATCTTGCAATTCTGTTATTTTGTTTTTTTGCCATGGAATAAAAAAAGAAAAAAAGGACATTATGATTCTTTATCTCACAATTCTGACTTTTTCTCACAATTGTGAGAAGAAAAAAAACCTCTGAATTGTGAGATAAAAAGTTACAATTACCTTTTTTAAAATCCTGTGGCAGAAACAAGCTTCTATAAATTGCATTTGAATACACTGTAAAAAAAATAAATAAAATGTGATGATCAATAAGTCGTGGCAACATTTGTCAATTTCAACTTAATTTTTTAAGTTATACAAGATCCAACTAGGCAAGATTTTCAAAATGAGTTAAAATAACTTGTACAGCCAATTTGATTGTATTTAAAAATTGAAGGCAGCAAGGCTAAATTATACTTTGCTTCCAAAGTATATTACTAGTCTTTTATGCTTAAAGGGGTCATATGATGCTATTTTAAATATCATTATTTTGTGTATTTGGTGTAACAGAATATGTTGACATGCTTTAATGTTGACATGCTTCTGCTCTGATTGGCCAGCTGACCCAGTGCATTGTGATTGGCCGAAAACCACAAGCTCACGTCGGTTTACAGATCTTCTTTATGCACCAAGGGCTTGTAACACTCCAAAGAGAAAGGAAAAATTGAAATCGCATCATATGACCCCTTTAAGTAGAAATAACGACTCCACCAGATCATCAATTGGGATTCAATTAGAAGTACCTGGGGTGTATTCAGAACATGGAAAATCAGCTTTCTCTTACTATGTTCCTTGGTTGTGGAACGATTTTCAAATTATTACTCCATTAGAAGCAATTCCTTCTTTGAATATATTTTTTTTTAATTAATTGCAGCATGTAATGAATGAACCTTGTTGTGGTTTTAATTAAGCTGTTGATTTATGATAACTGTTTTGCTTTGGTCGTATATAATTTTGTTTTGTGTCTTGTATATATTACTTTTTTTAATTTTTGTGAAACTTCTGTACGGTCATCTTGACCAAGACTTCCTGGAAGAAGAGATTTCATTCAATCACAATGGGACCTTCCTGGAAAAATAAAGGATAAATGATGGACAAATGTTTTAATGGTGTTTGAGAGGCTCAATGTTTACACTTTTGGGAGAAATAAACCCATGAATGGCATACTTAAGAGACTGTATTTTGACATAAAAATCTTTAAGTGTGTTAATAAAGTGACTGATGTTCTTTTCTCAATGGCAGCCTGTGATCAGCTGGCTCTCGGTGTGGCCGCCGTGTTCGGCCCGTCCCACAGTTCTTCAGTGAGTGCAGTCCAGTCCATCTGCAACGCTCTGGAAGTTCCTCACATCCAGACCCGCTGGAAACACCCGTCTGTGGACAACAAGGACAGTTTCTACATCAACCTTTACCCAGATTACGCCTCCATTAGCCGCGCCGTGCTCGACATCGTGCAGTTCTACAAATGGAAAGCAGTGACGGTGGTGTACGAGGACGCAACAGGTGGGACGGCTGATTTTTATTGCTCAGAAATTTCTCCTTCATTGCTTAGGAACGTGGCGTTCTCAGATATAACTCAAGTATCAACTTTGGTGCATATGCTTCTTCTAAAAAAATAAATGTGGGATATAAAACAGACACAAATGAGACCGTTATTTAATATATTATATTTATTTATTTGCATGAGATTGAACACAGGAAACACACACACATGCTGTATGTAATGGCCTCATACAGCAGTGATATAATTAAATAGAATTATATGTAACTTATCCAAGTGTGCAGGAATTAGATGCATTTATCATCATCATATTATTGTGTATATACCGTAATTATCAACCATCCCGTGAGTGTCTGATGGTTGTTAGGATCTCAGTGCTTTATGAAAAATGTCCATAATTCACACTTCTGATCTGAATTTGGCATTTTTGTGAAAAATGGTTGGCATTTTTGTGAAAAATGGTGCGGTAAATATTGACTTCGAGATCATATCTGGGATAATTTGACTTTTCTTCATTATTAAAAAGATTAGGATATGATTAACTGTGTGTAATTTGTCAGGGCTGAAAAATATTAAAAACACCCCAAAACAGCAAGATTTCTGTTCGGAAAAAGAAGATTTTTCCTGTTTAATTTCAGGTGATGAATATTTGAATTAAAGGGGTCATATGATGCTTTTTTAAAGATCATTATTTTGTGTATTTGGTGTAACAGAATATGTTGACATGCTTTAATGTAAAATCAGCTTAAAATTTTATGTGCTAAATCTGAGTCAAAGCAGAACTTGATTAACTCATTTAACACTCTACACTACTGTAATATATATTTTTTAAAGATGTCTCTTCTGCTTACCAAGGCTGCATTTATTTGATTAAAAATGCAGTAAAATCAGTAATATTGTGAAATATTATTAAAATAATATAACTGTTTTCTGTTTGAATGTGTTTTAAAATGTTTACTCCTGTGATCAAAGCTGAATTTTCAGCATTATTATTCCATTCAGAAATCATTCTAATATGCTGATTTCTTATTATTTCAGTGTTGAAAACAGTTGTGCTGCTTCATATTTTTGTGGAAAACATGATACATTTTATTTGAGGACTATTTAATGACTAGAAAGTTCAAAAGAGCCGCACTTATGTGAAACCTTTCTAAGATTATACATGTCACATTTGCTAAATAAAATAATTAATTTCTTTAAAAAACCTTTTGAATTGTAGTGTGTTTCTATAATCTTTGCTGATTGTGTCTATATAATATTTTTAGGGCTAATTCGTCTTCAGGAGTTGATCAAGGCTCCGTCACGCTACAGCATCAAGATCAAAATCCGACAGTTACCGATGGGAAGTAAAGATGCTCGGCCGCTTCTTAAAGAAATGAAGAAGGGGAAAGAGTTTTGTGTCATCTTTGACTGCTCATACCAGACTGCAGCAGCCGTCCTCAAACAGGTAACACACCAGGACCGAACTTAATTGAGATTCCCTTTTAAATTCCAATTTAGTTTTGAATTTAAATTGAGGTACCAAACAGGATGCAGATTTCAAATTTGAATGTTTGAACGCAATTTGAATTTTGAATATGACTAATTTTGGACTGGAAAAGCAAAGATTGTAAAGACAAGCCTTGTTTGTAAGTTCTAAAAAAAAGTTTAAAGTAAAATTTTATAGGCGCAAGACCTGTGTTGATTCTGATATTGTGAGATATTGTTACATTATTCAATGATGTCTGATGTCATGCACTGACAAATCAAATTCTATTTATTGTGTTACAGCAATAAAAAATACTACTAATCCCTCAACTAAATCCCCATCAGTTGTGATGCATTTGATTGTCCCATTTTGTTTTTAAAAACATTTCTTAACATATTTTGTAAAGGATACAGATATGCTTTATTTCAGTGTTTTGATTTCAGGTCTCTAGATATTTAACGCATGCTTCCTGTTACAGCAGATCCTTTATTCAAACCTAACATTGGGAATGAGGAAAAGAATAATCACAAATGATGTGAAAGGCTGCTGGTGCAGATGGAGGTTTAACTTCTCTCTCTCGCTCTCTTTCTGCTGTAGCTCTTGTCTATGGGCATGATGACTGAATATTACCATTTCTTCTTTACCACTCTGGTGAGTTTCATATATGGATTCTTTGAGTTTTTCTTTGGTTCTGTCATTGTTTTGATTTGAAATTTTAACAAGGTTGGTTCTGCTGATGTGCATTTTGTTTTTAGTCAATAAAGTACTGCAGGAATGACATATTTTTGTAGGCCAATTTGGAAATTCGCATCACTCTGGTTCCCTCAACAAAAACCCAATATGATTTTTCCATTGCCTTTTGGATTATTGCAGAAAATAAGCTATAGGACCAACAAAAGTTTAAGATTCTTACATGTTTTGTTTATCATGATAATCTTCACAACTATTATGAATCCTGAAGCCTAAATGCAACTGCCATAAGTAAAAAGCTAAATGTAGACTATAAACACCACGGTCACACATGGTTTCACTAAAAATTTGAATTGGTATATTTTGCAAGAGCGCAATTATAAACACAATGAGGCTGTGAAAGTGACTATAGAATATATGAGTTTACCTTTCACAAGACAAATAAAAGGTTTTTTTGAAAAAAGTCCCAAGGTGGTATTTGCTACCATATTTTGCCATATTTTATGTCATAGAATAAAACTTGAAAATATCTTGAGCTTGTGTTCAACACTGACCTTATTTTAGGCATTTACCAGAATCTCACTGACTTCAGGATGTTAAAAGCATAACTCCTAAAATCTCGTTTCTGGGTTTAGACCTACAAAAATAGGTCATCCTTACCGTGCTCTACAGCTAGAAACCAAGAAGCATTTTAAGAAAAGGAATCTATTGTTAAGCTTCATATATTGTATGACACGCTTCAGGATCTGTTTGCATTGGACCTGGAGCCGTACCGATACAGTGGCGTGAACATGACGGGTTTCCGTCTGCTCAACATCGACAACACTCATGTGGCGTCAGTGGTGGAGAAATGGTCCATGGAGAGACTGCAGGCTCCACCCAAACCCGAGACCGGCCTGCTGGACGGAATGATGACAGTCTGTCCACTCTCTCTCTATGTATTGTCTTAAAAATAAATGTTCCAAAGGGAGTTTTTACAGCGATGCCATAGAAAAACCATTTTTGGTTCCCCAAAGAACCTTCCAGTGAACAGTTCTTAAAAAAAACATCTTTCTTTTTTTGTGTGAAGATTTTTATAATCTAAAGAACCTTTTTCCACTATAAATAACCTTTTGTGGAATGCAAAGGCTCTATATATGTTAAAGGTTGTTCTTGGAACCATCAATGCCAAAAAATAACCTTTATTTTATATATATATATATATATATATATATACACAGTACAGTACAGTATACAGAATATATATGATGATACTGAATGATTAATATATATGAAGATATGATAGTACTCCAAGGTATTTTGGTGAATAGCATGATTTTACCATGGTACGTGTCTAAAAAACATAGTTATGCCATAATACTTGACCAAAAGACAAAACCATTCTTTAATTGGAGTGTCTATACTGCATCTGCTATCTTATTGTGCATTGATCAAGTCATCAACTTTATTAAAATAGTACTTTATACAGCACAGATTCAAAACAGCAAACAGCATTAATGTTGCAAAAGTCATCAATTATGAAACTAATTCAATTTCAGCTTTTGTACAGGATACAATAGTGTCATTATTAAGCTCAGTTTAGTTCAGTGTTAATTCAGTTTAGTTCAATAACAGTGTAAAAGTCACAAAGTTATGAAACTCAATTCAAATGTAAAGCAACTCTACGGAAAAAAAATAGTGTCATTATTCATCTGAATCAGTTGAGTGTTGATTCAGTTCAGTTCATTTACTCCAAAGTTCATCAATTATAAAACAAGTTAAATTCAACTGTAAAGCAGGTGTACAGAAAACATTGTTATTATTCAGCTAATGTCAGTTCATCAGTTATAAAATGAACTCAATTCAATTAAGTTCAGTGTTGATTCAATGTAGTTGAATATCTATCAGTGATTGCAAAGTTCAATTATGAAACAAGTTCAGTTCAGCTATAAAGCAGCTCTACAGTTTCATTATTCAGCTCAAGTCAGTTCAGTGTTGATTCAGGTCAGTTCAATAACTGTGCAAAGTTCATCCATTTTGAAACAAATTTGATTAAGCTATAAGGCAGCTCTACAGAAGACAACATTGTCATTATACAGTTTTGTTCTTGTCTGATCATCAATACAGTGAAATTGATAATATTACTGAATATTAAGTTCTTTTGAACCCACAATTTGATTCAGAATCAAGTGAGTCGTTTCATTATGTGAACAGATTCATGTGGTCTAGTTTCATGTGTAATGGCTCATTTCTGTCTGTGCCGCAGTCTGAAGCAGCGCTGATGTATGACGCTGTGTATATGGTCGCTGCTGCGTCCCAGCGAGCGTCTCAGGTCACCGTCAGCTCACTGCAGTGTCACCGACACAAACCCTGGCGCTTCGGCTCACGATTCATCAGCATGCTCAAAGAGGTAAATGCACCTGTTTAAACCATCATCCAAAACCAAAAAACAGTTCAGCCACAGATCATCATTTACTCACCATGTATGTTTGGAATGAGTAAATGATGACCGAATTATCATTTATAATCTTTTAAACTGTGTCAGACGCTTCTGAACTCTGATAGAGAGTTCAGTCTGTTTAGTCTAAATGCATCATTACTCACTTCTCTGGGAAGTGTTTCGAGCCACTTCTAAACAGCTGCAGATGATTTATGTGCGGACAATCTCTCTCTCCCAATGATAACTTCCAAGTGTTCTTGTCAGAGCTTCCTGTGTTGGAGGAGGTATTGTTGAGTCAGCATGTTGGCATTGCAGTCTGAGGATGAATGTGTGTTGGACGAGAGCGTAATGGCTCTAGCTGAATTAGTGATGCAGTGTGGGTGAACTCATTACAGTGGGGCTGTGTTCATTTAAAGGTGAAGCGTGTCATTTCTGCTCTACTAGTGGTGCTGAACGGAATTGTTACCAAATGGACCGGCATGACAACGTTAACCTAACTTCTGCTGCTGAGAAACCCAGAAATGTGAAAAAGGTCTGATTCACTTTTTCGAAAGCGCTCCAAACCGAATCACGTATCGTGAATCATTTGATTTAGGTCGGGACTTCGGAGCGGGTTCGCGAATCATTTGATTCAGACTGGGACTTCGGAGCGCACATTGAGTATAATTTTTTCTGATTTATTTTTTTCCCCCTTTTTTTTAATCAAGCAGTACAAAACATCAAATTATTAAAGCAGTACACTAATAAAAACAAAACAAAGAAAAACAAAGAAAGTATACACATACTGTATACAAATCCTTTAAGAAAATTAACCATGTTTTTTTTTTTTTAATTAATTAATTTATTTTTTTACCACAGTTTTACTAGAAATACCATGGTTAAACTATGGTTAGTGTAGCAAAACCACCATGGCTACCATGGTTTAATTATATAATTGTTTTTTAATAAATAAAAATAAAAAAAATTAAAAAAGTAAAACATTTAAACCATGAGGGCACATGAATACAGAGATACAGTTTGGACTGCTTTAGGGTTAACAGAACATTAGATAGTTTCCATATACTTGTCTAGATCAACTTTGAATAAAGAAAAGAGAGGTTTAGAGACAGTCAATTTTTATGCATGTGAATTTTGGCTTGCAGGAAACAAATTATTTAACTTATATTTTCCTATAGTTTATTTTGAGTACTCAAATTATCCAAAGAAAACATCTTCAAAACAGAAAGAAAAAGCACTTACAAAATGAGATTGGATGAACATTAAAAAAATCTGACTATAATTTCTCTGCATGGGCACATTGCCAAAACAAGTGAATGAATCTTCCTCAGAAAAGTGACAAAAACAGCAACTCACTTCAATGTCTAACTTATATTATAATTACGTCCACAAGTTTTTTGTGAAATTTGGATTGAATCATTAATCTGTTGTTTGACCTCTTCATATTTAAGGAGAGATCTCCAGTTTAACCACTAAATTGTCCCTAGCAATAATTTTGATCAAACAGTTAAATGGCTGTTGTCTGCTGTTGTGTCACCAACAATGCCAAAATCAAACCTACGCCCTTGCTGGTGGTGATGATGTTGATGATGATGATGATGATGATGACCTTGATCTTAGTGAGCATGAATGGGACAGTTAATGCAGTCTACAGTAAGCACTGCTGGTTCTGGTGTGTTTAATCTTGTGTGCTTTTGGTAATTGAAGCTCACTGTACATGTGATCTGAGCAGGACGTGATAGAAAAGGAAGGATCAAGTGAGATTTATACTAGAGAATAATTACTAGAACAAATCTGGACAAAGGTCATGTGACCGCAGTGTGAGTATATGAAGTCAGTCTGAGCTCCACTACTGTATGTGAAGATTATGAATGCTATCTACCCCATTTTAATTCTTAAAGAACAGCAAATTAAAGAAATAATCTACTGGATTTGCACATGAGGCTTGAACGTCTGTTGACTATATGAGCACTGCATCCTCATAAATTAACATGTTCTGGATAAAAGATCCACTGAATTATGTGTTGGATAGATCAGTCGCTCCATTTGGCTTCAGACCTCACATATTCACTCCATGAGCTTGATTATAGAGTCCATTTACTAACAACTCCTTGCAGAACTGAGTTGATCTATTGCTCTGGGCACTTCTTTTGACCATGTGACTATTTATTTATTATTTCTCTTAGCTATTTGTCACTAGATGAATGGGGCTATATATACAGTGGGTACGGAAAGTATTCAGACCCCCTTAAATTTTTCACTCTTTGTTATATTGCAAGTAGTATGTGTGTATTCTCAACCTGAAAGCTAGATATACTTTCCCTCTAATAATGTCTTTGGGAAAGTTACAAGCTGGACAGTTTATAGTTAAATTTGACATTGCACATAAAAGCCTTATGCTCAAGGTCCTGACACTAAAAAGTGCTTGTTAGAAAAAATAAATAAATAAAAAAATGCATTTTTATTAGTCAAATATATATATTTTTTATTGTAAAAATCATTACATTAATAATTTTATCTAATAAATATATGTATTTATTTAACATAAATACAAGGTGCTTGTTAGAAAAAATATAATGTATTTCTATAATTAAATGCAGTGCATTTAATTAAATTAAGTTCATTAAATCATATTTTTATTTCATGAATTAATGTATTTAATTAGTTAATTAATTAATTGATTTAGAAATAATTAATCCAGTTAATAAAAATAGAATTATAACAGAATAGAAAATAATAATGTAATCTTTTTTTATAATACAATAATGAATCCTTATATACATACCCTTAAAAATAAAATATAAATAAGATATAAACAAATAAATAATTTTCTAAATGTATGTAATACTGTGGGACTGTGATCACATAAGTGTTGTTGGTTCATGCGTTCCCAGGTTTGAGTCTGATCTGGGTTATGTCACAGTCTCATTCCCTCTCACTCTTACTTTCCTGTCTGCACTTCACTGTATTATTAAAATAATGGCAGAAAGCCTCCCAAAACACATAACAATGTGTGTGTAAGCTAATGCATCAAGGAAAGGTTGGAAACACAGGGCTGAGCATGAGCCAAAAACACATTCTCAACTAATGATGATGATGATAATGCTGCATCTGGCCTCTAAAGTGAGACTTAAAATAAAAGCAAATGAGCAGTCAGAGTTTTATGATCTCTGTCTTTATTACGACACCCTCATTTTTAATCTAAACGCCTGTTCTGGAATGAAATCAGATCTCTTCTCTTCTTGTAGGCTCAGTTGAACGGACTGACCGGACAGATCATCATAAACAAGACAGACGGCCTGAGGAAAGACTTCGACCTCGACATCATCAGTCTGAAAGAGGACGGGATGGAAAAGGTAAAACCAGAAAATAATCCCGTTTGCATGAGCAGCATCTGTCTAAACTGATATCTGCCATACATGTCAATTTTTTTGTTTTCTTTTCACAAGCAGTTTATGGAAAGTGGTCGTTTTAACAAAGTATGGAAGAAGGTTTGTATTGAACGTCAAAAATGTGACATTTGAGTCCTTTTTCTCCTTACAAAACATACCATGGTACTGAATGATACTATGTTATTTCCTAAAAAACATAGTATATTACCATGGTACTTTTTCCATTTATGACCCTCAACCTGCTAATACCTCTTGTGCTGGTTTCTAGATGTTATTGATGTCTTATATACTCTCATGTTGGCAAGTTCATGGCTCAGTTATGGATTATACTTAGTTTTACCACTTATTTATAATTGCATTAAATAAACTTAATTTATTTCCTTTTCTAACGCTGTCAAACTCTCAGCAGGTGGCTCTAAACCAAACGCAACATAAAGCAGCTAAGAGCTCTGCAACCATTTATGAAATATTACATCACTCATAGAGTCAACAATGCAGAGAGCTCATTTTATTAAACATCTGTTTATGTGCACTAATCACACGGCAAGCGCTCAATTTGAGGACTCTCTCTTAATGCATATTTTACAACGCTCCCCGTGACAACAGCTATCAGACAGAGGTGACTTAGTGTAGCGAATGAAGCTACTGCGCTGCACAGAAACACACACAGACCATCTCAGAGGAGTGACTGCTTGCGTCGTCTTTCAGTGGATTTACATTAATTGCTCATGTAAAAGAAAGCAATAATAGAGCACTTGCTTTGCACATTAATATATGTGGTAGATTACTCAAAATACAGTCAGTTCTCAGCAGTTTTAAGGCTTTCTAGATATGTTTTCTCTTAGATAAAGTACTTTTCCTTTGCTCCACTAAGTAATGAAGGTGTATTGTATGCATTTATTCCCATTTTTCCCTTAATCCTTTTATTGTCTTTTTTTATTGACCCTATTAGACCTAAAGTGCCAAAGCTGAAGTGTGTAATTTTTGTGATCTATCTATCTATCTATCTATCTATCTATCTATCTATCTCATCTTTTTTATATATCATTTTTTTAACTGGTTTTTAATGATTTTAGTTTTAGTTACCAACAACACTGTTTTAAACCACAGACGTGTGAAAATTGTACACACATTTGTCTCTGGTAAATATTTAAAGAAATAGTGTGTCATCTTTTACTCATTCTCATGTCACCCATTTAACTCGTGACAACATGAGGATGAGTAAATAACAGATTTTTTAAATGTTTGGGTGTATTATTCCCTTAATCTGTCCTGTAGAATAAACACTATTCGGCATCAGAACAATTAAACTATTTGCTTATGTGGTTCTGCATCTGTTTAGATCGGTGTGTGGAACTCAAACACCGGCCTTAACCTGACAGATAGCAACAAAGACAAAAACACCAACGTCACCGACTCCATGGCCAACCGCACTCTCATCGTCACCACAATTCTGGTAGGAATCAACCAATGCAGAGCATCAACAAGACCATCCACCTGTAACTAACAGTACTTTTGCCCCTGCAGGAAAACCCATATGTGATGTACAAGAAGTCAGATAAGCCTCTGTATGGGAACGATCGGTTTGAAGGCTACTGTTTGGATCTCCTGAAGGAGTTGTCCAACATCCTAGGCTTTTCCTATGAAGTCAAACTGGTGTCTGATGGGAAATACGGAGCTCAGAATGACAAAGGAGAGTGGAACGGCATGGTCCGAGAGCTGATCGATCATGTAAGTCTAATGATTAAGAGTTTTGTGGGTAATCTGTCACTCATTTCAAATGGTCTTAAAGAGTCAAGAGGATTCCCATGAATTAATTCTCACTGGCTTCATTATAGGTGGCAGATTTGGCCGTGGCGCCGCTCACCATCACTTACGTGCGAGAGAAAGTCATCGATTTTTCCAAGCCCTTCATGACTCTGGGAATCTCTATCCTCTACCACAAACCCAATGGCACCAATCCAGGTGTCTTCTCCTTCCTGAACCCGCTCTCTCCGGACATCTGGATGTATGTGCTGCTGGCTTGCCTCGGGGTCAGCTGTGTGCTGTTCGTCATTGCCAGGTAAAATCCATATCAACCCATTTTAACCTTTAAGTGGGATTAAATTCTTCAAATTGGATCGGTTTCATGCTTCTGTTATGTCTTGTTGGATTGTGGTTAATTAGCTTTTGTTTTACTGCCCAGCAGTAATAGCTCAAAAACACAGTCTTGGCCAGCTCATTTTTAATACAAATGCAAATGTGTCTTCATTTCGCAAATTTATATATATATTTTTTAACTCATACTTCTATTTGAACATTTGCAGTTAAAATATAATTTTTAGTGAAGTTATCTTTTTTGGCTTACACTCTAAAAACAAGTTTTGGCTAAAAATAAATGTAAATAAATAAAATAATAATAATAACAACAACAACAGTTTGCATGAATCTTTTTAACTTGAAATTAATAAATTACATTGAGTTAGTAGAGCTTAATTTGTAGCATGAACACAATTGATTACCATTCCAACTAATTTCAACATAAACATGTATTATAAATAGGTTAGCTATATAAATAGTTATTTCTACCTGATTTGTTTGCATAAATTTGTATGTTTAGGTTGATTCAGTGATGTTAAATAATTTAGATTTACCATTTTAGGTTACCATTCTTTCAGTATAACACCTCATTTCCACATCTATTCTCTTTATGCAGTCTTATGTAAAGCATGCTGAGAACTAGAAATCTAATGCCCAATTTTCTAGTTATTTTAAAAATTAAATGAATGCAGACATTTGAGTTTAAATTACACACGATGCAAGTTGATGTAATGATCAACATTATTATGTCAGTTAGAACTCATCAAATAATATTGGCAACTTAAAAGATTTAAATAAATCAATAAGGATTTTACAATTTTAAACTTATAATTTAGAATTTTCAGCTTGCAAGCATGTATTTATTTAGCTCGTTTTAACAGACGGACGCCCTGAATTTATTTTTAAAATGCATCAGCCACAGTGCTGATTTGTGTCCATTTACAGTGAAATGTTGGTGTGTTGGTGCTGTTCTGCAGGTTCACCCCGTATGAATGGTACAACCCTCATCCCTGCAACCCTGATTCAGATGTTGTTGAGAACAACTTCACCTTAATCAACAGCGTTTGGTTTGGTGTTGGAGCTCTTATGCAGCAAGGTATGAGATTTAACACACATGGTTTCCTACTTTAGGGTGGCCAAATATGTTGAAATCTACAAAAATGACTCAATTAAACTCTGAAAATAGTGTCAATGTGTGCTTTCAATTTCATTATGTTCTCTTCATGCATTTTATTTTTTATTATATTATATATTGTAAAACAAATAAAAAAAAACCATTCTGGATTTTACAGCATTTTTAACCATTCATCTGTTAACTGGTTGAACATTTGTCATGGTCAGGATCGGAGTTGATGCCCAAGGCTTTGTCCACCAGGATTGTTGGAGGTATCTGGTGGTTCTTCACCCTCATCATCATCTCGTCCTACACGGCTAACCTGGCCGCCTTCCTCACCGTGGAGCGAATGGATTCGCCCATAGACTCGGCCGATGATCTGGCCAAACAGACCAAGATTGAGTATGGTGCTGTGAGGGACGGGTCTACTATGACTTTCTTTAAGGTTAGGCAACTTGCTTTTGATATTGTATTTTTATTAGTCTCTACAAGCAAAAAAAAAATCAGCCTGTTTAACATTTCATGCAATGTGTGGGTGGTTTGTGGTACATTCGTTTGGCACTGAATTAAGACAGGTGGTTTGAGGTTTGATGGGCAAACAGCAGTTACACCTCCAGACACAAAACCTGCGATTTTACACGCACAGATTGGCGGGACACGGACCTCAGCCAGCAGGAAATACATGTACAATGCGAATTAAAGCAGCTTATAGAGAAAGAGAGCGTTATGAGGGCATTTGTCACAACACTGATCTAAACCAGCATAGCAAAGAAGGATTTCATGGCAGAAATAAAGCATAAGCACAGGAAATCCAGTAGTTAGATCAGCGTACTGTAAATTTATTCACAGCTATAACATGAATTTTGGCAGAAGAAACACTGCTCATCCTCTAAAAACCCTTGAAATTTGCACTATGGCTGTAAATAATTTCATATGTTTTTTAGGAGTGGAGATTATGAATATTCTCTTACAGAAAACAATAGTTTTGGCTCTTAATTCTGATTATGAAATGATAGTTATGGTCCTGGATGCTGACTGGTGATCAATACATTGCTTTAATTGTGCTTAATGTGTATATCAACCATATTAGAAACAGCTTAGTTTACATGTCATCTATAGATCTGCCTATGAGACTTTATGAATTTGATTAATAAAATGACATTTTAAAAATACTTAAATATATAATACAGCCTTATTTTATTTCTTAATTAGATGATCAACATTCCAAACTGTAAAAAAAGATATACTCATAAAAGGTTAATGAACTAGACTAATTTGCAGATAAATACTAATATTTGATTAATGATTAATAATTGTTGTCTTTTATCATATTAGTGTTACTGAAATTGTATAAAAACAATAAACCACTTAAGATTTTTTTTTTAAACAGATGATCCTGATGGGCAGTGATATATTTTATTTTATATTTTATTATTGAATTTTATTTTATTTATTTATTTATTATTTTGTTCTGTTATTTTATATTATTTTAGTAATTTATTTTATTATTTATCTTGTTCCATTTTAATTTTATTTAATGTTATATTGTATTATTTTTAGTGCTGTCAAACAATTAATCGCGATTAATCGAATCGAAAATAAAAGTTTTTGTTTAAATAATGTGTGTATACTGTGTATATTTATTATGTATATATAAATACAAACACATGCATGTATATATTTAATAAACATGTTATGTTTATATATTAAATATATTTATATATAATAAAACATAAGAATATAAATATATAAATGCATATACATGTAAATATTTTCAAAATATATACCGTATGTGTGTGCATTTATATATACATAATAAATATACACATTAAACATACATATATTATGTAAACAAAAACTTTTATTTTGGATGCGATTAATCGTGATTAATCGTTTGACAGCACTAATTATATTATTTTACTGCATGTTATTTTATTAATTTATTTTATTATATATTTTTTTATTTTATTTAATGTTGTGTTATATTATATTATATTGTATTATTTTATTGTATTGTATGTTATTTTATTATTTTATTTTAACTTCAGTAAAGACTGTCACACACCTTTAAGTGGCTCCTTGCATTAATATAAACATTTAAATTTATTAATTTGATATATACGCTGCCAAAGCGACATTGCATTCAAGGTATATATATGTATTCCTTGGAAATCGAACCCATGGGCTCTACTATAATACCATCATATATCTTTCACAGAAATCAAAGATCTCCACCTATGAGAAGATGTGGGCGTTCATGAGCAGCCGGAAGAACACAGCCCTGGTGAAGAATAACAGAGAGGGAATCCAGCGCGTTATGACCACAGATTACGCTCTTCTGATGGAGTCCACCAGCATCGAGTACATCAGCCAGAGAAACTGCAACCTCACGCAGATTGGAGGACTCATCGACTCAAAGGGCTACGGAGTCGGCACTCCTATTGGTACTCTCACATAAAACACTGTCAAAATTTGTCAAAAATGTTCAAGTACACTCTAAAAATGCTGGGTTAAATATAACCCAGCGCTGGGTTAAAAAGGGACAAACCCAGCTATTGGGTTGCTTTGACTCACAACCCAACCAATATATATATATATTTTTTTTTTCAGTTAATGTTTATTTTATTTTAAGCAAAATGTTTGTTTTTTATAGCTTTAGTTAACGATAATAACTCTGGGTTTCTCTCAGGTTCCCCGTATCGTGACAAGGTGACCATCGCCATCCTGCAGTTACAGGAGGAGGGGAAACTGCACATGATGAAGGAGAAGTGGTGGCGAGGAAACGGCTGTCCCGAGGAGGACAGTAAAGAGGCCAGCGCTTTGGGAGTGGAGAACATCGGAGGAATCTTCATCGTGCTGGCGGCCGGACTCGTCCTGTCCGTGTTCGTGGCCATCGGCGAGTTTATCTATAAATCCAGGAGGAACCTGGACATCGAGGAGGTGAGCGTGGGACAGTGTGAATGGCACAATAAATACTGATGGACATCACAGGACTTCTGAGGACGTCACTGGGAGTTTTATAATGTACTTTTGCTCCTCGACCTTCTTAAAACCAGATATACTCTGACTAAACAACACTTAAATGATGTTAGCCGTGTGAGAATTGGTGGCGACGTTGGACGCTGAGCAACATTTTCAACATCAACTTTTTTTTTTTTTACATTTTTCAGATGGACAAACAATAAGATGAAAAGTATCTGTCAGTAAAATATGAATAAAGACAGGAGTGTAAGTTCGCAGTTCAACTATTACACCAGTTACTATATTGTAGAGTAGTTCACATCCATGTAGTGTGTATTTAGATTTAAAGACTGTCTTTACAGACATATTCCTCCTTAATTTATGACAAGACATGTCTGTGAGTTTTATTATAGGTGATGTGTGTAATTTTTCCATGTTAAAATTAGTCAATTATACATCATTCATTCATAGGTTGATTTTCCCGAAGAGTGCAACCAACATTATTCTGTTTTATTTTGTTTTAAACATTTTTGTTTGAAATGAATTACAATTGCACATTACAATTTATTGCAATAATGGGGAAGTCAGTGTTGTTTTTAAAAAAACGGATACATTTATTTGGAAAAATAAAAATTTGGTTAGTTTTATGTCTTTTTCAGTAAAAGCATTTTTAAAGTCTTCACATGAATTTACGTTTACTTCTGGCTACTTTTATCAAGAGCATATTAACTGAGACAGATAATATTGCATTAAAATATGATCAGTTTCTCAAAATGGAGCTTAGAGCAGTTTCTCAATATTGCAAAGTAATGATGATTAATTTGTTATTTTATGCAACGTTACTGTGTTTTAGCATGCATGAAATGTCAAATAGTAGATGGGAAACCTGTTTGAAAACCATTTTTGCATTTCCATTTGATGATGTAGGAATTACATACTTCACTTTCAAAGACTCATTCTGACGGTCATAGCCTTTAAAATGACTTATTTCATTCAACGACTGTGGGTAACATTTGTCTTAAAACTGTTATATGAACCCTTTTTTAATAGTAAGAATGAGCAAACATGTCTACAAAGCAGATTTAACATGCAGAACAAGCATAGTTCTCAATGAAATTGAAAATGTTGAGCGAAGTGACAAAATCATTACCGAACAGAGCATATGTAATGTTTGAAATGCAGTGTGATGTAGATTTTGAATCTGTGCAACACAACTAAATGTTTGTCATGGCTCTTTTTGTGGTTGAAGCTGGTTAGGGCAAAACCTCCGATTAACAGGCTGGTTACATTTTATTCAGTCTACAGGTGCAAGTTCATTTTTTCATCATTTCTGCTTTTGTATTGTTTGACACTTACGAAAATGCATATAAATATTTTATCACTTTGAAATGATTTCTTCATGAGCACAATATATATTCCTTGGTTTCTTGATTATTTGCCTCTTGTAGTTTGATAAGTGCTTTAATGAGTTTTGGCACACAAAGTTTCTTTCAGGAATGTACGTCCAGTCTTCTGCATCTGAAAATATGTGAATTTAATTCAAGTATTTTATTATAGAACCTCTTTGGTGATGGGCTTCTGCTGAAACAGCATTGTGATTTCTTTTCCTTCTTTTAGTAAAGTTGCAGTATGTAACTGTTTTGGTTAAAAATGAACAAACATCAGTTATTGAGCAAATCCTTATCTTACCTCGATTTGCAACGGTAGGCTTATTGATTGAGTTTATTTGTATAGCGCTTTTCACGATACAAATCGTTGCAAAGCAACTTTACAGCAAATTAAGTTTCTACAATATTTATCAGTGGTGACTGTCAGTTAATGTACATATGGCAGAAATGTACGGAAAAATCAATTAAAGATGTAATCAAACAGACGATGAACACTATTAACAGCAATTATTATATAATGCAATCAAACTTTAATCTAGATTTAAACAGTGAGAGAGTGTCTTGTAATGAAATTAACTCATTTGTAAGGGAATTAACCATTAATTTTATTTCTAGCTCAGGTTTTGAAAGGACTCGAATCTGAAAATGGAGAAAATTATTGGTCATCCAATCTTTTACATTTTTAACACACTCTGTTAGCTTAGATAATTTAGAAGTTTCATCTGGTCTTGTTGAGATATATAGATGAGTATCATCAGCATAACAGTGGAAACTAATCCCGTATTTTCTAATAATATTACCAAGGGGCAACATGTATATTGAAAATAGCAGAGGACCTAGGACAGATCCTTGTGGCACTCCATATTTTACTGGTGATAATTGAGATGACTCCCCATTTAAATGAACAAAATGGTAGCGATCGGACAGGTAGGATCTAAACCATCTTAAAGCCTGCCTTGAATACCTGTATAGTTTTGTAATCGATCTATGAGTATGTCATGATCTATAGTGTCAAACGCAGCACTAAGATCAAGTAAAACTAGCAATGAGATGCAGCCTTGGTCTAAACAACAATTATCATTAACACCTGTGTCAAATCTAAGAAACCTCAAACTTTGCATCGTCCGTAAAGAGAAAACACAGAAGCCTGTGCTAAAACAAGAGTAAATATCGGCGTGTGTTTTGAGAAGTGGCGACAGGTCCGAGATCCGAATTGATTAAAGACTGACGCAGATAAACAGGTAAGACGTTTGATTTTAGTGGCTCCGTAGGCATCTAGCTAACATTAGAGCACTTGTTCGTTTGATTCAGATATAGGTATCTAGCTTCCTTTGTTGTTGTTTTGTCGTTTTGTTGTGGTCACTGCAGGTAAATGGCATTTACTTTCTGATAGCAATGCGTGAGAGCAATTCTGCTTTGTGATCCGCTGAACTAACTGAGCAATCAATAGAACTAAACGTCAGTAACGTGAATTATTTTAAAACATTTACGTTTTTATTTGATCATAACAAAGCAGCAGATATGTTACTTACTTGTTCAGGTGACATTTTTGTAGGATATAATATAGTGGAATTTATGTGGATGTACAGCTACATTTACATGCAACCAAATAATCCATTTGTAATCGGATTGATGGCTCAATCGGACTGAAAATGTGTATTTATCCATAAATTAATAAATATTATTTCTGCTGTTAAAAACAAATAAATAAACCGTGTAGGAGAGTGGTTATTATGTGCAAACAGTGAGAAATTCTATATTTGTGCAGTGTGCGAATGTCAAAAAAAAAGAATGCCCGATCACTTTATTTAGCGTTCATGTAAACACTACAGATTCATTAATCGGAATGAATTCAGTCCGATTGAACCAAAAATTGTGCATGTAAACGTAGCCAATAATAATGACAGATGCGCTCTGATGTGGCGATCAGATTCATCCGCGCACAGGAGCAGTGCCGAAGCACAACCCTCGTAAAAAATAACTCCGCGAGTAACTTTTTAAACCTCATAAGCGTTTTTATGTTTCAAACAGAGAGGGCGATATTTCTAAAGTCATACAACAGTTTTTTTTTTTTGAGGAATAGACTAAAATTTACGTTGCTGTTGTCCCAAATGCTTCAGCAGTCATTACACACATGTGAACCAGTGCTGTTTGGTGACTGAAACTTTTCATTTTTAGGTGAACTATTGCTTTCTTGTAAACCTTTTACAAGCTTTATTATTTTTTTGAATAATTGAAGAACAGGTGACCATATGGAGGTGCTATGGAGCTTCTTTGAGTGCTTGACATCTCTCCACAGGTTTGGTAAAGTCCTCCTTGAAACCTCTGATATCTGCAGTGAATGTGCCAGTTTTTGTCAGTTTTTCACTTCTCATGTCTCACAATTTCCATATGATTATGAGCGCTGGCTTCAGGGCTCGGCCCATCAAAAGAATCATTTCTGAGTTCATAAGAGACCTGTGAAATGATTCCATGCAAATGAAGGTCAGATCAGATGTCTCATACAGTGTGTGTGATTTCTGCCTCCCATCAAATGGGATTTTTAAGTCAGAGAAGACCAAATGGAAACTGGTCTTGCACTCTCATTTCTTCCACCCTTCATAAACCCTGAATCTGTCCATGAGATTAAACTTAAGGTGAAAACAAACATGTCAGTCTCCACAGATCTGGGTAAAATGTGTACACTTTTTACACTGATTTTTTAAAATGTATTTCTCAGGGACAAAAAAAAATGTAAAAGAAATTGAGTGAAAATTGCATGCAAATATAGATGCTTGATCTAATGCACAAATGTTCAAACATTTTTATTTGCTATAAGTAACCTTTTGAACCCTTTTAAAAAGCACTTTTTTTCATCATAAACAATATAAGCTCATTTTCACACATTTTTTGTCTAGTTATTGAATAAGGGAATAGTACAGTATTGCTTTGGAAAATCATAATTACAAGATAAAAAGTCATAATTACTACTACACGAAAGACACAATTTAAATAAAATCAAAATTATGACATACTGTTGTAATTGCGAGTTTAAAAAGTCTAAATTGACAAAAATAATTGAGAGAAAAAGTCATAACTGACATAATTTGAAAATTATGACAATTATGTAGTCTTTTTATTTTGAAAATTGTCATAATTATGAAATAAGACTACTGGTGACAAAAATTCAGAATTTTGACATTAATTTGTGAGATAAGATGTTAAAATTTGACTTCATGTTATAATGACTTTTTATCTCATAATTCTGACTTTTTTTGTAGTAAGAAACTGTAACATAGCATCTCTTCTGCTGAATGACAGTATGAGCTGCACAGAAGCTTGAAAGGAGCTTTTGCATTAATCTACGGTTGAGATGACAGTCTGAGGTTTGTATTTTTGATGAACTCTGGGATTGAGTTTAAAACTGCTTTCATTTTTGTTCACTGGACCGTAATCCTCTAACCATGCTTTCTTAATCAAAACTGGGAGTTTTTAATCTAGCTAGGATTATGGATCTATGACCTTGTGCTGCAGCACAGCTGTTTCCTCCTCAGAGCAGCTCTCGGTGTTGTAACGCTTGTAATGTCTGGAATAATCAGACTCTTCATATCTTTCTCTGCATGTGTGATGAGTTTTTTTTTTTACTTGTATGTTTAACTTGTGTTATCAGTGCGTCTGCCCATCTTCTCTCTGCACGTTTAAAAGCTTTAAATGGTTCTCTATGATAGGAAACAATAAGGCCCTTTGAATGTATTTTTTTTCCTAAAATACTATGACAACAAAACCCACCATACTTGCACTATTATTCCTTAACAGATAGTTTTGCATAAGTGGGGAGGAATGTAATTATTGTGACAAGGGGGTTCTTATTAACTGGAGAGTCGCAATGGAGATTAATTTGTGAAATATATTCAGATGTAGCTCTAAGATGTACATTGTTCATTAACTAATAGAAGTCGTAAAATATGTAAAATATTATAAAATGTCAAAAGTCAATTAAACCCAGAAAAGAGATCAAACATTCATCTGTAACGTTTCTATTTACATAAATCGTCAATAATAGTAAATATGAATAGCTTTGCTAATTCTTTAAATGCATACACTGTAATGGCAATAATAAAGGATTTTTTTTTTTTGGATCATCACTCATGAATTGACAGTGAAACAAATACTGAATAATTTGTAGTGTTTTCTGCCCTCTGCTGGTAAGGCAGAAGAA